CATTAATTACTTCTCATAATCTAAAACGGTGCCCCGGTTTTGCAAGACATTTTTAAATAAACTTTCTATTTAATTTCAGTTAGTTCAAAATGTTTTTTGAGTCGCTTGTTTTTTAAGGTTTGATGCAGTATTGCTAAAATGATGCTTACTAGCTCATAAATCCCGCCCAGTTTTGTCAATTATGAAATGTAAACTTATTGAACTTTGTGCGCACTCTAAAGGCAGCATCATCCTAAACAGGTTCCACTGTCCAGTGGTGCTTGCACAAACAAGACCTTCACGGAAGAGTCGGTAGAAAAAAACCTTTCCTGTGTCCACGTCATAAAATCCAACGTCCAAAGTCCGAAATAAAATTGAGCTCTTTGGCCTTTCACGCAAATACTGTTGTCCTCTTACTTACAGTGTAAATATAAGTGTACACACTTAGTATTGCTACTTTTACATACGTAAAAAAATGAAATCAGGAGAAACCAACACTCAATCTCTTGCATATAGTGATGCAGCTGTAATCTGTATGTGTACTGTATAACTGCATACAGTAATCCCACTGCAGTACTGGTTGTAATACTAAAACATTTGTAGCAACCTGTTGCTGAAATGAATGTAAAAGCTGAGCCGCCATGAGCTCCTACTTGAGAATCATGTGGGCACAGATTTAGCAGAAATGAGTCTTATCCTTGCCTTTGGGGCCAGCAGATGAGAGGAAAACATGGAGGCATGACAGTTGTTATATTCAGACCCTGTGGTGCCATGGATGGCGCCCACATGTGCCAAATTCAGTGGAGCAATATCTTGTGTTTTCTCCTTACATATATTCATTTGTTGTTTATTTTTATGTATCTATTTTTTACTTTATTTGCTTAGTCTTCCCTCTCTCTCTCACTTCTGTTCTGAAGCTTTGTTTATTGTGGTTGTAGGCTTTAATCTTTGTCTATATGTATGTATGTTTGCATACTTGTATTTGTATGTGTATTTTATCCAATATGTGAAGCATTTTGTAACAATGTGTTTTTTAAAATTATTATTAAATTATTCAGACCATAACCTTATAATTTCCAGAATACCATACATTTACATTATGTTTGGTATAAGAACCTTAAATAATGTAAAACATCAAACACAATTATACGTACATTAAATGTCTGATTTATATTGAATTATGTTTTTTATGTTGGCGACCGGCACAACATACAAAAGTCTCACTATGCTTTGGTCTTCATGTTATTATCAAAGTAAAACATTTGTAGATTGTATTTAACAAATACAGTACAGGATCATCCACTTATTCTGTCTTTCTCAAGCAAAAAAGAAATCGGCTCCCATCGTTCACTTAAGGGAGTGGACTCACAAACATCACTAGCTCTACCACTCTAAGCAACAAAAACAAGCTTACGTGTTATTATTATTATTATTATTACTATTATTAGCTATTTTTATAATATATATAGATTTTTTCAAACTTATTTTAGCAAAATGTGAGGATTTATTTTTACATAATACAGCACTACTATCTTATCTATCCCCTTTTTATTGCTCATGTGCCCTAATTAGTGATGCCAGATCATTTGACCCAAAGATATATTAAATACATATATTACCACTTCTGGCTTTTATAATTCAGCAAAATTTAGCAACATTTTGACTTATGATTGGTATGTGTGCACATATATCACCTAAATTATTCAAGAATTCACCTTATAATTTCCTGATTACCACAAGTTTACATTTCTTTGGTACAAAAACCATAAATAATATAAGAACATCAAACAGTAGTGGTTAGACATAACACACTGAACGTTTAATTTATATTGAACTTTGTTTTGTAGGTTGGCGACTGGCGCAATATATAAGTCTCACCAGGCTTGGGTCTTGATGTTCTTACCAAAGGTTTCTAGATTGTATTTAACAAATATACTATAGGATCATCCTATCATCATCTTGATTTTTTCTAAAAGAAAAAAAAAAAAGAAATTGGCCCCCATCATTCACTTAAAGGAGCCAACTCTCTCTTGAACATAGCATAACAACTGGCTTGCATATATATATATATTCTTCTGTTTTTCTTTTATGGTTGGTCTAGTTTTCTCATATTTCCTCTGATTTTATGTACATTGTATGCAATATGCTGCTTGTAAACCTTAAGTTTGTTTTTAAACACAGCGCACAACACACAAAACAATATGCCAGAGGTTACAGTATAGAATATAAATACATTTAGAGCTACAACTTAATGATTAGTTGCAACATCAAACTGTCAAATCAATCAATAAATCAGTCGAGTAATTAATTTCAATTAAAATAAAGATTTGGGTTAAAAACAATCCATCTAATTCTTTTTAATCAATATATTCTATCTACAATAATTCAATAGACTAATTTTTGATGATGCAGCACTACCTTATCAATCTCCTTTTTATTGCTGAAGAGGGATAGAGTGGAGTGAGCAATTTTGTAGTGTACATCTGGTGAACAGTGAACACTGGTGTAGATTACATGAACAGAGGGAAGGCAAGGGGATAAGAATGAAAGGGCTCCTCCACGACTGCTTTACACAAGATAATGATGACATAGTGGATAGTGGATACAGTTTTTACAAACAATAATTAAAAATTTGTCCAGACTCACACTTGTCCTCTAATTTCCTCTCTGCTGGGTCTTTGATCCCTGCTTGTTCCAGAGGAACACCCCACCCCCAGCGGTCTGGTGGCCCCACAGGGCAAGCCAGTGGTCCTCGGCCGGTGTTTGTGAAAGGGCCCCAAGCTGCCTAGCACCGTGGCAAATGAGGCGCGTGACTCATCAGACCAAACACGGGATTAGCTGGTAATGATCTGGCAAATGGTTTTGAAATTATAATTATCTGCCCCTCTGGATCTATGGGAAGAGAGGAAAAAAGTTGGGTGGAGTGATAAAAAGAGAGTGAGGAAAATAAGTAGAATATGAGAGAAGGCAAGAGGAGGATAGAGGTAGGCTACAGCACTTAAAGGAAGCAACAAAAATACACTTTTACATTCACTGTCAGCGCACTTAGCTGTGTGAAATTCACTTTAACAGCAACAGGACAGAACTGAGAGCTGGCTCATCAATGCTCACGTTATGGAAGACAACAAAACACCCATCAATACCAACAAAACCAGAACAATGCTGTAAGCCATTGAGTGTTGATCTTTGCTGCCACCTGCAGGGATCTGCACAGAATAACCTGCTGCTGTTATATGTAATCCTTACTGATCCACGTGGGGTTCTTTGGGATTGTGGCAGTGGAAAACAAGCAGAATATCAGCACAACCAAAGATACAATGACCGATAAAAACTTTTAAAATGGTGAATAAGTGAATGAAGCAAAAAGAGAGGATGTCTGTAGCTCCCAAACTGAACAATGAAACAGTTCCCAGTGCTCTGATAAATATTCCTAAAGAGGCTCAAAGTTTTGCTGGTCAACATGGGCACAGTTTTTCAGATAAAATTTTATTTTCAAATACAATCTTATTGACAACAGAAATGACTGCTGCCAGTTCGCAAAAATGAAGATGACATGATTATATACTAATAAAAAATACCTATGAATATTATATTCCATTTCTGCCAATAGATCCTCCTTAATATTACACACTGGACCTTTTATTCCAAGCAGCTACCTCAGGCATCTCCTCCTTCTACCTCATTTAAACTTCCAGAATCTGTGAACATGCAAATGTTGTTTCTAAAGGTTTCCTGCTGGACACAAGATCCAGCAGGAAGTCTCCTACTTCACTGTAAAGTCTATTCTCAGTGGATGTGCACTGGTGGCTTCAAGTTTCTACATCACACTGTACAAGTTGATACTGGATTTTATTTCTTTTTATAAGATTTGTTTGTATTTTGTCTTAACTTATTGTGTTCTGTTTTTTTCATTGTTTGTGTAATCCTGTTATTTATCTATTGTGCAATTTAAGTAACGCTGCCAAATAAATCCAAATTACAAAGCTATGTAACTTGATTGTAACTTTGATGGAAGCTTGAGGTATGGAAGCCCATTTCCCCCAATGTGATGAAAAAAACGACAAGATACAACATTATAATGAGAAACTTTCTCCAAATATTGTTAAGACCAGGCCAAGAACACTGGACTCAATTGCACATTCAGTAAATAAATCAGTTTGTTTAGTAGCAGAGTTCACTAAATGGGTAATGCCAAAAACAGGCAAACGAGTCCAAAGGGCAAAGACGAGAGAGAATGCTGGAACGCTTGACTAAACAGACAAAGACGGACTGGCACAGAAGGGAGGAAACACAGAGACTATACACTACACAGGTGCAGGTGATTAGGGCGGGGCAAACTATTACAACAGGGAAACACACAAGGGCAGGAAGTGAAGGGATCTGATACGAGCGGGAAAGGACAGTACAAAATAAAACAGGAAACGCACAAACTAATAATTACTAAGAAGTTAAACACACTAAAATGACTGAACCATGACAAATATTGACTTAATATCTCAAAATAATAACTTGGTATCTTAAAATAATGACAAAGTTTCTCTGTTTTCTCATATTAAGTTCATAAGTTTAAGTTGTTCAAATGTTTACATTGTTTTGTCTGAATATCTTGCATATAGCAGTAGAACATCCACGCAGTAACAAAGACTTCCATCCATTCCACTGTCTGATTGCATGATTTGTGCATAGACCGTTTTCCAAGCAGGAAAAGCACTGCTGTAATTAATAACATTAATAATGACCAGGGCTCTGGTATTGCACATACTGGATCACTGAAATGGCTTACTGGGAAACTTATAATGAAACAACATCATCATCTGTGTATTTTATGCATTGACAAGTCAAAATATGTGCCCTGAAAAAGGTCCAATAGATATATATACCTCCTCCAAATAAAACTCCTTTCAGTTCATCACCATCACAATAAAGTTCTTTCATGTCTTAACAAGGTACACATGGACTTTTATTTTGAAGTCAGATAACTCTTCTCCTTGAATCCTCTTAGCAGATTAGCCTTTCAAAAGCAAACCCTTCAGTGGCAGCGATGGAAGTCAGTGGTCACTTCACTACACTGTAAACAAACACTACACCTAAGCTGTGTGAGATGCCATGTTTCCACGATGTCAGGTGAAACCCAGAGAGATTCAGAAGAGGATGACAGTGATGACACTGACAGCGAATCTAACGGTGCTTCCTCTGTCACCACTTTTTTCAACAGACTCATTTCAGGTAGGTTATTGGCATTTTTCTGTCACTTTGAATTAACTTAACAGCACAGGTGTATTAAATACTATTAACTATGACCATTTAATTGTCTCTAGTTCACAATTAGTCCACTGGAGCCTTGGAAGTGACACACCTGAACGTAATGTAGCCATTATCCAGGTTATTACTAAGTGTAATAGCCTGTGCTATGGCATAGCAAAATGGCGTTGTGAAAAAACAGCCCCACATCCTTTTCGGAACTGTCATTACTGTAAGTTGTTTCTTGGTGCGTTTGTAAATACTGGCATTATTTGCAATGTAAGCTACGAACAGTAGAGGGCAGCGGAGTCGCAACTTGATGACACCAATTGTTGACGTTGTCGTCACAGTGTGCGACAATTATTGTAGTCTTTACATGGTGGCGGAACCAAAGGCAGGAGCTCGTAATTAACCACTAGCTAGACAGTGAAAAGCTTATGAATGTGCTTGTTAATTGCTTTATTTACAAGACGAACGATACTGCACTACAACTTGAATGTGGCGGTATGAAACCTGCTGCCATTAGTCAGTAAGGAGGCGGCGCGTAATGTGGCTTGCTCAACCTAGCTTAGCCTTTAGCTAAGCGGCATTGCTCAACTCAGTTTCAACAGATATGTGTCTCAATAAGGAAGGAGCTTGTTTCTGTAACACCTAGCTAGCAGCCAGTGTGACTGAACGACTGTCGTTCATATGTTATTGTGTTGACCTGCCGTTGGTTAAATAGGCTTTCTCGGAAACTGGAGCTGCCTGCGAAACGTTCACAACATGTTGAACATTCCGACCCAATCGTTCCCTGCGCCGAGCTCCCAGCAGCGAGTCGCTCCGGCCGGCCAGTCCGGGAGGAACAAGGTAACACTGAGGAAACCCGGTTTCTCTTCCTGTAGAGACTATACTGAACTCCATTCTAAAGCCTGGCAGTTTACAGCTGCCTTAGAATGACTGAGGTTCATGTCTGGCTAAACCCTTCACTGCTCGTCTTTATTTCGGCATAATATAATAAACATCATCAGGGTTGGGAGGGTAAAATGTAATCGGGTACAGTTACCAGTTACCTGTTATAAAATGTAGTCATTAACCGAATCTAATTCACTTATTCTACAGTCAGCACCGGGTACACCCATTTCTACATCCCCTCTGATGTGCCTCATTCACTAGTGTTCTGATTGTTTTCCTCTGATAGGGAAGGCATGACATAATTGATTAATGAGTGGATGGATTAAGGATTAAGGAATATTTCACTCAAAATACATCATTATGTTGTTGTCTCACCTTTCTGTGGGTCAGTATTGATTGAAATCTGCACCTCTGTGGTGGATGTTAATGCCATAATGATCCTTACTCACTGAAGTCAGGCAGCAGAAGTGTCACAGTGACCAAAGACTACTGGCCCATTTTTGGGTGCAGTAATTCAGCAAGAGTAGTCTACATGTAACTGTTTATAACACAGGGTGTTTATCCCTTGCGGGACAGGCAAAAAAATAAATACAAATTGCGGAATGTTTTAAGAAGAGAATTCTCCTGTCACCACTACACCACTACATAAATTGACAACTTTCCGTTAAATCTGGGTTACCTCAACACCAAATATGTTAATAAAAAGAGAAATGTCAAAAATAAGTAGTGATGCAAGCGTATTCTATAAGACAACAGAGCAGTGTAACCTTTTGAAAGGAAACAGATTAAATTAAACGTTAAACTTTTTTACAATCAAAAATGTGCTCTGTGTATTTTAAAAAAAAAAGTGTTTTAAAGTTATAATCCCCATTTTTACTAAATGCATCTGTAATCAGATTTTTCTGTAATTGTAATGGATTACAGTTACCCTGTTTTGTATCCTGATTACGTAACTCAGTTACATTATAGTGTTCATTTGAAATAATAGACATTAATAACTGGTATGTTACTGTAGCAATATATACAATTTACTTGTTTGTATTTATTAAAAATAGGATAATATACAAACTTTTAGAAAAACCATAGCTGCACATACAGGGACATAACATGAGTACACAAATACATAAATAAAAACATTTAATCAGAGATTTCAGGGAAGAGAGTTTCATAGTGAATCAAAAGCTTATGTTTACTGAACTGAATGATTTAAGTAGGACATTTGTTTTTAAGAGAAAAGGTTAGAACTTAGGAAGCGATTTAGAGACTGTCTGTTAGTGAATAAACAGCATATATCAGTTACTGTAGCAATATTCTGTAGCCAAACTCTGTAGATGATGCTGCTGTGTCTTAAATTTGGCCTTAACGGGCCTTCACACGTCACCAGAAGGGAATAAAAACCCAGCCTTTCCTCTGTTACATGACTCTGCCCCTAGGTGGCCTTGAAGCCCGGCCACAGTCTGATGGACTGGATTCGGTTTTCCAAAAGTGGAAAAGATCTGACCGGGCTCAGAGGGCGCCTGATTGATGTTACCCAGGAAGAGCTGCAGAAACACAACAGAAGAGATGACTGCTGGACCTGCATACGAGGTGAGCCTGAATGAGCTCTAGTCTGAGAGGACAGGGGCCCAAGCCTTGCATCGTAGCTGCAGTATTTAGCCAGTCGTTGAGTGCTTGATGTCAGCTTAATGATACTTGATCCCACTTTGTCTTGAATACAATGAGATTTAGAGAGGTGTGTTCTGGGGACGCCCAGTACTAATGTCAACTAGACCAGAGCAGTGAACCCTCAGACTCCGCAAAGGCATGTGAGAGCAGGTACAAGGGTTTCAAAATGCTTTAGGAGGGAGGGTGCAGCGCTATTGAAAATGAAATTTTATCTGGAGGCAAACACATTTATTTTGTCAGTAAAAGCCTAAGTTGCAAGACACTTAAGTATTGGACACAATAAAATGAATGAATGATTGATTGTAAAAAGTAAGAAATCTATATTGTCAGATATTCTGACTTCTTCCTTGTGTGTGTCATGCTTCAAAAGTACTGGAGCTCACACTTTCCATAATGCAACCCCCATAATGCTCTTTTTAGCTCTGTGTGTGTGTGTGTGTGTGTGTGTGTGTGTGTGTGTGTGTGTGTGTGTGTGTATATATATATATATATATATATATATATATATATTAGGGGTGTAACGATTCACCAAATCCACGGTTCAGTTCAGACCTCGATTTTTGAGCCACGGTTCGGTTCATACCGCGGTTTTCCCAGTTTCCCCATTTTGCAGAGAAACAGAGAGAGAGAGATGTTACCTGATATTACATTAAGCGGATACGGCAGAAATCTTACATTACGGAGCGTCAGTGAACGCACCACTGCAGATGTCACTCACTAATGTTCGGTTTGGACCCACATGTGGCGCACTTGAAAACTGAATCACGGGTGAGTTTATGAAACGTACTGCTGATGGAGAAAGTCATTAGAAACACACACAGGGAGAGAGAGACAGAAAGAGGGCGTGTTTGCCGTGAGTGACCAGAGGTCCAGGTGTGGCTAGGTGTGAGTGTGGGGAGAAGAGAAAGGGAGCAGATGAAAGTAGTAAATAAACACTAAAATAAGGTGGAAAATGACCTAGAATAACCTACTGTCAATAGAAATACGATATAGGCGTACACCGCTACCACCCCATGGGCCGCCGCCACCGCCGCAGTTACACTGTCTTAACGAGAGCTCAACAGTCCAGGGAGCTAGTGTGTCGTGGTTCTGTCTCTCGGATCCCCGACACGAGACCGTGGACTTTTGTGTCACGATTTCGGTCTCGGTTTCCCGAGCCCTAGGGCTGTAACGTGTACTTGCGACTAGATGTTGCACTAGAGTACCAGCATCTCAAACCAGAACAACAGGCACTATGGCAGACCAGACTCCATTGACAAAACCAGTTATTTTACTTAGCAGATAATCGTAAAACATATTTCAAGCTGGACAGAAACCAAATAAAATTCACCAAAACCATCTTTCAACAGTATTTCCAACAACCCCCAACAACCCTTAATAAATCCTTAATTCACCAACACAGTTGATAAAAACAGCAGTTTCAGTCACTCTACTCAGCTGCACACTGAGCAGACAAGCTATGGAAATAAAACATTGACACTTCTTTTCTCTTTAAATTGACAGTTGTATGGATTTTCTGCTGTAGTAAATATTAATGTGATTGGCGCAGAATCCCTCTTGTTACATTGTTTTAACTTCATCATCTGATATTAGTGTCCGTGCTGGTATCAGTTTCTGTTAGCAAAGGGCACTGAGACTGTGAGATAGATATAGATATATATATATATATATATATTATATATATATATATATATATATATATATATATATATATAAGCTCTTTTTTTTTCCTCTGCATGTTTTCAGGTATGGTTTACAATGTGACCCCCTACATGGACTACCACCCTGGTGGAGAAGAGGAGCTGATGAAGGCAGCTGGGATAGATGGCACTGACCTGTTTGACCAGGTATGGAAGGTGATGGAGGAAGTAAAGCCAATACTTTCTAAAGCTAAAGGTACACTTGGAGAAGGTGCATCTCACATTTCTAGGTATTAAAGTCACAATGGACTGGTTGCACAGCAGATATTCTGACTTGTCAAAGAGAAACACAGGTGGACTTCATAACAGTAGCTCTGGCTCAGTTCCATTAAGTGTCCCAGTAACAGTGACATTGAAACCAGCATGCACAGTAGCAGGACCACCCCTAAGTGGAATGCAGCCTTATAGCATATATACATCATATTATATATATATATATATATATATATATATATATATATATATATATGTCATTAGTAGTTTCCTGATATGACATGCCAAAATGTGTCCTGCGCAACTAGTTCAGAAAAACACCCTTTTCACATTAATGGACAGTCCAAGTGTTGATACTTTTTAAAGACACTGTAATCATTTCGTATGTATGAAATGTGTCTGTGAACTTTACTTCGGCAAAAATCCATTTGGTATAGTTTTGGCTGAGCTGCAGCTATCCATTGTTTAACATGCACATTCAGATAGCTCTAGCTTTTAAGATAATTGAATCACTTAAATTCTTGTCACCTTTTGTTTCTGTTTGCATGCTTGGCAAAGTAGGGGAGAACTCAAAGGAGTTAACTAAAAGTTTATTTTACATAACTAACAGTCTGCCAGACAGATGAAACTGCCAGAAGTATTACAGCTTTAACAGCTTTATTGAAAAGAATTGCTCATGACAGCTACAGTAGCTTGGAAGATAGCAGCATGTGGCTCTGAATTTGAGATTTTTTATTGTCTGAGTGTTGACTAATTCTGAAGAACTATGAGTTAACAGTTGTTAACAGTTAACAGTTATGTGTAGCTCTGCTCGTGTCTGCTATTTGCCATTGATTCCAGCCAGCAGTGGTGCTGGTTGTGAGCTGTAGTTTTCCCATTAAATACCATAGCTCTTCAGCTGTCGCAGTCCCTCCTGCCCCCTGTTGATGCTCAGGGTCACTCCTCCACACACCAAGCTTGGAAAAAGGGTTAGGGCCAAGTACCAAGGCGAAGAAGTGCTCGGTGTCTGTGGAGGGGCAGCCTGCTCTGCAGACACCCGGCCTGCCTACTGCTCACAACCAACATGTGTTGTCCCCCCCAATATTAATAGATTTCATTGTCAAACTGAGACAGAATTTGCTACTTACAGAGATTATCATTCCTAGCTTATTCTAGGCATTGGTTTACGTTGCTATGGTAACACACGTGTGTTTGTGCACAGGTCCATCGCTGGGTGAACTATGAGTCCATGTTGAAAGAGTGCCTGGTGGGCAGGATGGCTGTTAAGCCAACCACAGCTGTTAAAGGTACACACTCACACAGACACACGCGCACACATACACACAGAACCTAGAGTATGTCTAACTATTGTATCTGATCTGCAGCATTACCTCAGTAGCCCACAGTAGAGAGCACTTTTTAATATATGTATTAGTTTGAACTTTCACAGCAAGTAGAAGATGTACAGATTATGAAATTCACAGGAGAATAAAAATGGGTACAAAGGACTAAACAACAAAAACGAACAAATCAAAAAGAAAGAACACCGTCTCATATTCATACACACAACACCAGAGGTTGCGATGATAATGTGCAAAAAGAGCAGTCAAGAAATCCCTGCAGCATAACAGCACCAGACTCTACACAGTTCAGACAGGGTTTCCATGTTTTATAGAATTTGTTTGTTTTTTAATGTAATATACCTGTACATACAAACATTGTTTGTGGTAGATCTAATCATTAATTGTTGTCAAGAGTGTAAGGCTGTGAGGGCCATGTTCATGGTTCTAGGTCAGTCTCTTCTCCCGCTGAGTGCTTCTGCCTGAACACCATCTCCTGACTTTGATTAGTCATTTCCTGGGTGAACCGTGTCGATGAAATGCTTTTACTCTTGGTAGTCTTAAAAGTAGTGCCCAAAAGTGTCACTTTTTGTTTGTTTTTTCAGTTGTTTTCCTACTCTTCTACACCTTGTAAAATGTGACAAAGAAAAGATGACTTTCTACAAACACTTGAACAAAACAAGAAGACATTTCAAAACTGGATTGCCAAAGAATGAGAACAACTTTGACATAAAAACGGTTGTGCATGATTGCTTAATATCTGTTTCAAATCTCTGCAACTTTATTTTCATATATTAAAGGCATTAAAGGTGCAGTGTGTAACATTTAGGACAATCTATTGTCAGAAATGGAATATAATAATATATACATTAATGTATAATCACCTGAAAATAAGGATTGTGTGCAAATGAGCAGTTTTTATCTACAGAGGGAGTGGGTCCTCTTCCACCGAGTCTGCCGTTTTGAATCGCCATGTCTCTACAGTAGCCCAGAATGGACAAACCAAACACTGGCTACTGTAGATAAGGAATCATGTTATACATGTAATTGTTTACATAATATGTCCCCTTTAACCTTTTGAGACCTGCAGAAACCCTCTGAAAGGTCAATATTGGTCTCCATATTGTGTAATAGTTATTGTCAGTCTAACCCTAATCTGAATTTAAGTCTTAATTGGGGTGTTGTTGTTTTTCTCTCTGGTTTTCTTCTTAGCTATCATCCCTCCTCCACCACTGACAAGCCTCGCCCCACCTGTCTCAGTGGCTCCTCCCGCAGACAAAGACTCTCGGCCTCGGTATGAAAGACAAACACGAGACCGGCTCATCAAAGTGGACCAAATGCGTACATAATCAGTGACTTTGTCTGCTTGTTTCTGTAGGTACGACTGGTTCCAAACGGATGTGACTGTTCACCTGGTGGTTTATGCTAAAAGGAAGGTAATCACTTAATCACACACCCATGACTAACTCTAACCTCTGTTGGTATACAGTGTGAACTGCAGGTGCTTGATGAGATATAGAATGTGTATTTGGAGAGTATTCCCTCCAGATAGACCAATACAACAAAAAGACAGCTGCTCAGCTCGTCTGTTTTTAATAAACGTTTAAGGATGAAGTTACCAACTAGCCAAAGAAGATCAATGGTTGAAGATGACATGTAATTCTCTCCGTCAGATCCCCAGCTCCGGCTGTACCATTGTTGACCTCGAGGCGGGTATTTTAAGACTGGAAGTGCTGCTGGGGAAAATGTCCTACATGATACATTTACGTGAGTAGACCTATGGCTTTCTACATTGTATTTTGCTGTCTTCTGCAAAAACATAAGTGAGACCCAGTGAGGTGCAGTACATGTAGTTTACTCCATTTTTCTCCTTTCTTTGTCCTGTAAAGTCCTTCGTAACTTATACTAAAAAAAGTGCTACACAATACTTGCTTGTTAGTGTAAGACAGTAGTGTGTGTGTGTGTGTGTGTGTGTGTGTGTGTGTGTGTGTGTGTGTGTGTGTCTGTGTCTGTGTGTGTGTCTGTGTCTGTGTCTGTGTGTGTCTGTGTCTGTAGAATGAAAATCACTATCACACAGCACCATAAAAATGTGAGTTATTTGTCTACTCTTCATCAGTGAACTACCTTCAGCGCTGGTTCTACATCTTGATCTAAACTGCTGGATTGGCAGTGGTCTCTCCATCTTTACAACACATTTCTGAAAACAATGATAAACATATTTTAACCTACAGAGAACCAGCTATGGTTGTGATAAACATGATGTCACAGCAGAATCAAGGCACAAGTGTGTGTTTTGTGTATTTTCTCAAATGATCAAATAACTTGCTGTTCAAGTGGCATTATTAGGGGGAGTTATAGTGTCTGTATTCATGTACAAAATAGTTTACTTTGCTGAGTGACCCTAAAATTACAACTACTCTAATGTAATCAGTATATTACTCCTGGCTTTTAAAGGACCACTGTGCAGGATTTAGTGTCATCTAGCAGTGAAGTTGCAGATTGCAACCAACTGAATACAGCTCAGTCTTCCAAGTGTGCAGGAGAAACTATGGTGGCTGTTTAAAAAAGGCCCAATCTCACATCTCTACATTGTCCTGGGAAAGGATTTCTTAAAAAGAGTGGGAAACCTGAATCTAGAGCCAGTGTTTGGTTTGTCTGTTCTGGGCTACTGTAGAAGCATAGGTTCATCATGGCGGACTCTGTAGAAGAGGACCTGCTCCCTCTGTGATTTGACATGGGCACATTGTACACAATATCATGCTGCTGTGACTTTTGTTATAAAATGAGTGATTTTCATGCTTTCAGGTCTAGCTGAGGAAGTTGACGAAAGTGTTGCTGGTAAGACAATATCTTGATTCCACTGAAATGTTTTTATTTGTGTGTGTTATTATGTTGTTCTTATTCTTAAACTGTCATTTCTTCAACAGTCCACACTGCCTTCTCAGTGGGAAAGATTCAGGTCACCATACGCAAACAGGGTAAACGGAAATGGACGAGTCTTGGTCAACCACTGGAATTTCACAATACATTTCTACGCAAAAAAGATAGAGGTGAGATATCCAAGATCAAAGAAATCAGTCCACTGAGGATTGTTTAGTCTTACTCTTCCTCTTATTTGGAGCCTATGGTTTAAATGTCTGTGTATCAGACCAATGGAGTGTTGCAGGGAGGACGTGTTTTTGTAGGCCAACCCAGAAGGTAGCGTTGCCCTGGTTTTTTCCATTGGATTTTGGATTATTACAGAAAATAAGCTCAGTGGCAAACAAAGTTTATGATACTTACACATTTTGTTCAGCAAGATAATCTTTACAAATTAACTCTACTTTTATGATTTTTGAAGCATAAATGCCATTGCTAACATTAGGCTATAAACAAACAACACCACGGTCACATGACCTCAGCATCACCATTACTAAACTTGCAGCTTATAATTACTTAATTTAACCCAAACAACCTCTGTACCTCTTTTAATCATTCATCAAATAACAGTGGATATTTGCTTTCTTTTTAGTAACACAAGGAAAAGGTAAATAATGAGTCTACATCAATGATCTCCTTTTTACAGCTCTCCACTATCGGGATTGTGTGTTAGTGTCTAAGACTGAAGTGAACCATAACACCTACGTGTTCAGATTACAATTTCCACGTGGGACTGTAAGGCATGTACCTGTTGGAAAACATGTCTACCTCAAGGCCCTCATTCAAGGTAAGCAAGAATACAGTGAATGTATGCTAAAGCACAAATAGGCGTTTTTCAAACATTGTTCATCCTAAACAGAAAACTCGCTTTTGTCTCTCAAATGCGGTTGTTGTAGTTTGCCCTTCCACTCTCTAGCCAAACACCTGTTCACCGGTCAGATATATAGATGGCAGCATGATATAAGTTACTCACATGAGTATGGTTGACTTATACTTGAGTTATTGTCCAGCTGTCAACATGGTATGGAATGAGAGGGGTTAACTAGTTGTGTCAGATCACATTTGACTTGATACATTAATTTATACACTGCTGAGTTCAGGATGAGACCTCAAATATGTTTAACAAAAGGCAACAGATTTTCACATTCATATATTCAAAATATTTTGGACATATATTTGACTGATAGCAAGAGACAGCAGAACAGTTATGAAGAAATAGAACTGAACAACATTAGCATGTTCAGAGATTCTGGAGCTTTTAATGAGGTAGAAGAGAGAGTAGATGACTCTTTAATGACTTAAATGTGGAAATTATACTTTTTTTTTTTTTTTCCAGAAAAACGTATCAGACACACATTATTGTTCCAAGCAGACTATTTGTAGGCCTGTATTTTGTAATACATGGCTAGAGGGGAGCTTTAAGTATATGCCCTTCCTCCCTCCTGGGCACTGTGAGCTTTACAGAAAACACAGTCCACCCTCTGACCACTACATCATGTGCTATTGAAATATGATGATGTGAGGTTTCTATATTGTGTGTTAACAAGCTCATTTATGATTTAAATTTTACTGTGGTTCACATTTATCTAAATTTAAATGTAATTTGTCCAAATTTCTTAATTTTATTCAAATCTGTATGTAATAATGTAAATAAATACAGATTCTTTTTGCTGTAGTAAACAGAAAAAAGTATAATTTAATACAGTCAGAATATACATAAATATTAAGCACACCCCTACTATTTGTAAATATAATATAAAAATGGTAGCATACTACACTGTGCTTTATATTTTAATCTAATATGTTGATATAAATTAGTGCAAGTTAATGTAAAAAAACCATGTATTTTTCATGTAATGATAAACATGATGCTTTAACACAAACCATGAAATCATGATTTATCATCTGATATGTGTTATATTATGATGTCCATTAGGTGGCACTGAATGGTTGAGAGTAGTCTTTATTGTCATGAAGAGAGAGTAGTGTAAATAGAGGGATATTACTCTGTTTATACATTATATGTCAGTGCAGATGCAGGGAGGATCTCTTTACTCCTCATTAATTGTTATTAATGCATTGATGGAGGAGGACTGAAGCGGTTCTCAAGGAACACAGTGGACTGGTGCTTGATATAATTATAAGAAGTCTTATTTAACTATTATTTTTGTCCATATGCAGACACTGAGGTGGTGAGGCCTTATACTCCAGTAGATGAGAGCCTGGTAGCTGCCTCCCAACACTCCTCACAGGAATCAGATCTCTACCTCATGATCAAAGTTTACCCTGATGGGGTGTTGACCCCACATCTCAGCAACCTGCACATCGGTAAGTCCCTGCCAGCCTGTCCTGTGAGGAGAGAGGGGCTGAGGGTCAGATGTATGCACATGTCAGCACAAGTTAGCACTATGAGGGTCCCCACATGTCCTGGAAAACCTAAGGAAACCCTAACCCTTTCACCACTGGGAAAAATGTGTCAATACTAGACCTACCCGTAAATTCTATGACCATTTGTGAACAAGTGCTTTCCTGTATTGTCATGGTCCTGGAAAATGATTTGTTAAAAAGATTGGGAACTCTGAATATGCCTTCATGTCCCCTCTGCCTACACCTTTCCAAAGTCACATTAGCGCATCTAGTGGTCGGGGTGCTTTTGAGAATCAATATCAAAACAAACAAAAACATTCTTAGCCCCTAGTGTTTATTGTTGCTCTGTTTTCCTTTTAAGACTCTTGCCTTAGACATACACCCATCGATCGACCGGTGACCAGAAGAGGGGGGGGGGTTCAGCTTGATCTACCATGACCAGTTACCGGCTGATGAGTGTCATATATATATCCAATTCTGTGCCGGTCAAATTTACACACATACTGTGGTTCAGGTGCACAGTGGCACAGACAGTAAGCCATTATTGTAACAGCTACACAGACGTTAAATCTGCGTGGAAGCTTTTGAAGGTTTTTTGGGTGACTAAAGATAGGTATAAAAGATACTGCTTACATACTGAAAGTCAACAGAGCAGACACATGCTGGGAGAGAGAAACAAAACCAGGCAGTGTGTGTGCAGTAAGAGGGGTGGAGGGGTGTGTGTGGAAAAGAGAAAAGCAAGGTGAGCACATTAAAGTAGTTTGTAAGTAAACTCTAAAATAACGGGAAAAATAAATGGAATTAAAATAAAAGTACAATCATTTTCAGTTGGATTTTATTTGTACAAAAAGCTCTGTCCATTCTGTTCAATGCTTTATTATCAACATACAAGGTTTGTATCTGCTGTCAATTGTAGTTCTCAGAAAGAAAGAAAATTGGAATCTGCAAAATTGGTATCGGTAGGTCATGTCATTTTGAAAAATCTGAAATCAGAATCAGAAAAAAATACAATAAAAAATCTTTTGTTTTCATATATTTATTTTAAGTTAATTCAGTACAGCTTTTTACATATTGTTGTTGGACCTCTAATGTTTTTCTGTCACTGAAATCTCTGTAGAATAAAGGTTAATTCAAGTTTCCTCCCCCACCAGAACCTCCCTTTTCAATACAGCCAAAAGTAGAATTGTGTCCTTATAACATCTTATCATCTTATTTGGTTTGTCCTCCCTCAAGTATAAAGGAGAGAGGCACTCTCTGCTGTGGACACACACAGTGCACCACAGATAACCGGCAAAATGTGTTGCCATGCTACTGCTGTGCCTGTTTGTCAAATTAAAATCTTGGAGCTGAATGCAGAAAAAGGAACACACACAAAAGGCTGTAAATCTGGCAGTGAGAGAGAGATACTGTCTGGCTTGTTGTTTGTGAACTTGATTGAACTTGGTCCCGTGATTTTTGATAGCAGAATGGCTTTCCACTTGACCACTCTTACAGGTGAATGTGTAGTGTGGATTAAATTGTGGAAATGTCATAGACTGCAAAAGAAATAAAGGGAGCTTTAATTATTTGTCAGTCTCTAGTTTCAGTCTTCTTCCATACAGCAGGGTATGCTTTAGGGTGGGACTACCTTGTGATTGACAGGTCATTCTCAGTGAGTCCTTCCAACTCAACACACCAAACTTAGATCAAACTGTCAAACTAGGCAGTGCTGATCAGATATGGATCCAGATTCTGTTACTGCGTTGACTATTTCTCTCCTAAAATGGTTTCATGAATATATGTTAGTGTACTGTTTATCTGGAATACGAGATAGTGTGACCAGGCGAGCCGCCATTGTTCCTGCTACAGACAACTCGAAACTGAGCAGCCAATGGGAGCAGCTCAACTCGCAGTACGTCACCTCCGCTGGCTTTTTGCAGTGAAAATTAAAATTGTGATCATTCCCACTAATTGAGAATCATATCGCCATATCTGTCTCTACCTATCCTGCAGCCATAATATGAGATGTAATGACATATATTTTCTATTACCGCTCTCCTGGAGATGTTAGCTAATACTTATCTCAAGCACTTTTGTCTTTGCGGTTAGGATTTGATTTTTAACTGTACTGTAACTCACACATACAATTGTCCCTGTATAATGTATAATGTATAGTGTACACTAATTTCAATTAGAAAAGTAGAAACTGAATATTATCACAAAATGTTCATCTCTGCATTGTCCCCTCTTTTCGACACCCTTGAGCTTTATTTGATGTTGCTCCAGTATTTTGTCACCATGTGATTCAATGTATTACTTGCACGTTTTTGTTCACTTATTTGTTTTTACTCTCTAGGTGACCATATATCTGTTAGTGGTCCAGAGGGTACCTTCAGTCTCCGCCCCCTTCGTGAGGTTGCATACCTCTACCTTTTAGCAGCAGGCACAGGGTTCACGCCCATGGCCCGCCTCATCCGACTGGCTGTACAGGACAGTGACACCATCAGGTGGGAACTAAGACTCAAATCAGGAGGCAAAATATCCACGAATTTCATCCATGTATTTTTATTGTGTCTTTATTATTTATATTTGTATTCATTGTGTTTTATTATGTTTCACTACAGTATATTGCCTCTGTGCAATCTATCTATATGGAATAAAATTGTTAACTGTCAACATCATTCAATTTTTGTGCACCGGCACAGCCATATTTTATAATACAAAAATCTATCAGTGAATCAGCAAGAAGCAGGACATGTCCCTCCCACTCATGATGGCCATTTATTAAAGCTTGGACAGGCAAATACAGAGCTGCCTCTTTTTTCCAAATTCCTAAGGATAAATAATTTTAAAATGAATAATAATAATAATAATAATTCACATAGATGTTCACATACCAGTCTAATGCAGTGCAGCACTGCCCAAAGACTTGTGAGAAATTTTACCTTGATTAGAAATGTATTCTATCAGGATGAAACTTATTAAATCAATTAAGACACAAATACAAGGCTTTTTTTGTATTGTAATTTAAAAAAAAAAAAAAATTCTACATTAGGGGATCAGTAATTTGCATTTCAGTAGAAACCATTTTTAGACCCAAGTTATGTCAGAATCTTTTGTCTTGCTGTATTGTGATCAATCACTATATATGGACTATGTCTTTCCACATCCAATGCCTAAAAAGTATATAGCAAAAAAGCCTCTTACCATTAGTATTTCCTAAAGGAATCAAGTCACTGAGGTATCTCATTTCAAAACTGAATATTAAGGTATGTAAAATTTGGTACCTATTACGAATCTGGAGATTTTTGGTTTTGAGTGTAAGCAAAATGTAATTTTGAGAAATCTCAAGGAATCTGTGAAGAATGATAGCAAAGCAGTGTATGAAGCTTGGCCCAGCACTTCAGATGTATGAATATGGTATAGTAGGTGAATTTTGAGATGACAGAGCTGAAACTGAGTTTCTGGTAGGTAACTCCAAATACTTTTAAGGACCTTTTTATTGTTCAGTAAATCCAAGCACTTATAAGGTCTTTTTCAATGCCAGCACTTTAAAGTAGCATTGTCTTTTTCTGTAAATATCCTGTAATGTCTGAGTAAAGCTGTAATACACAACTGCCCAACTTTAAACCGCTACCTCTTATTAACTTACAAATTCTGTCTATTTTTATTTTCATTTTCTTTTCTATTCTTGACATGTCTCTCAATACTTACCTCACAAGATAAACACAAGGATTATCTTGTTTGTTGCTTGTCTTCTCTGTATAATGTGTCAAAACAAATTGTTTAAAATACTCATATATATATATATATATATAATATATATATATATATATATATATATATATATTAAAAGAGACGCCACTTCATTAGCTACTTACTACATTATTGTTGTGAAATAGTGACATTTTAAGGTGTTAAATAACAGTTAATGACCTCAGTAACTACACTACAGTGGTCTTTCCTGTATTGAGAACTTACTCTTTGTTTGGGAGAAATACTCCTGTCCTCATTGTTGTCATCAGCCTTTCACATTCACAGTACAGTTTCTAGTAAACATTTCTAATGTGTTCCATTTTACTGTTGGTACTACTCATTATAAATCCAAGGCTTGCCTGATAATCCACAACATGTTTGTGTGTCTTCAGAAAAACCAAGCTGCTCTTTTTTAACCGGCGAGAAGAGGACATTCTGTGGCGCTGTCAGCTGGATGAGCTGGCTGCTAATAATGAGAGGTACTGAAGCTGTGTGTTTGTGTTTAAAGCCTTTGTTGCCCTGTTTGTCCCTGTCACAGCCCAGCCTTCAAATGTCATTTATTATAAATTAAATCAAGTAGGTTGTCAGTCAAGACTGAGTCTTTACTTCAGCAGCCCGGGTTAGAATACGATTTGTTAAAATTGGAGGTTATCGTCTTCTGTAAGCATAGGCCCATTTGATGATTGGACATAGGACAGGATCCCCTGGACTCTAGATGCTGCTGGTAGAGGCTTTAGGCCAAATGTGCCCCATTTGTATTGCAGTCTCTGAGCCCACGCTCTTGTTTTCCATTAGTGACCCAACTAGGACCCACATAGGGAGCCCACATGGGTTCACTGATGTGGGACTATTTAGTTGACCCAAGTGGGCCCCAAATAAGATGCACATTTTGAATCCCTACCCACTTGATGCCCATGTAGCCCAGCATAACCCATGTGGGGCACACATATGCATGTTGACTGGGATGGGGAGGAGGTTGGTTGCACAACTATAAGTCTGAAAGACAGAATGACAAAACTGTAGGTATTTAAAGAACAGCATCCAGGCACGATAAGCTAGAGTGAGCGCGTCAGTAGGATCATTGTGTCACGTATGGGGAGACAGTGTGGAAAAGCAAAAGTGACATACATGATTACACTAACTATTGAACTCCTGGCAAATGGGCTCCATTATACAATTTCTGTTCATTAAAAACACCACTTCCTGTGTAACGGTACAGTTTCGTGTAAGTTTAGTGTGCAGCGCAGCAGAATAGGGACCCATTAAGTTGCAGTGTGAATGTATACTGTGCTTTTAGGTCTGACAATACCCACAGTTGTAATAAGGCAGTGAAGTGCAGCTGATATTCAGCTTTATAAACACTGTCTTTGTACATATTCAGAGTGTGTGTCTGTGTGTTGTGGTTCAGGTTTCAGGTGGAGTACGTCCTCTCTGAGCCCTGTGAAAGCTGGACTGGCAGGAAAGGTCGGGTGGATGAGTCTATGCTCAAGGATTTCCTCAACAGGCCAGATGGGTCTAAATGCTATATGTGTGTGTGCGGCCCCACTGCCTTTACAGAGCTAACAATAGGGTATGTATTATAACATTTATTATAACATTAACTTTCCTAGTGCTCTGACAAAATATTGCCTCTTATTATTTATAATTAATTCAGGTCTTATTTCATAACTTTGGCAACCTTTTCTATCAGTTTTGATAACATTGTACTCACTAAAGTAATAGTTGCTGATCTGGGAACACACTGACATCACTACAACAAAGTCAGACAAGGAGTTAGTATGTAAAATGTTAAGGTATGTTCAGTTAAACCAGGAAGGAAACTGCCTACCGCTTTCCAAGATGGCGGCCTGTTCATTATATGAAAGCTGCTCACAAGGCACACACCACAAATGTATTATTAGAGCTGGATTCGGTACCACCAATTAGCTTTGCTGCCAGCTTGTTCCAGTGGTAACTCGTACCATTGGATAAAATCAATTAATGACAAGGCACTTTTAGACTTTCCAAGTTTTATTGAACCGAATAATCAATTTCTGATTATACCACAAAAAAATATATTCATAATAAAGCCCAGAAAACTTCCTCGCAATTAACATCATCAAATTTCACACTGCCCACTGGCAAATGCAGATAAAATAAATGTTCACATTCACTTTCAAACTGTAAAATTCATCCAGGCTTGGATGATGTTCTCCCTGACAATCCTGACAACAACCAGGTACATTTGTCCTAGACATCATCCTATTGGCTGGTCATATCGGGAGAAATTGCCAATGTTTCATTTGAAAGCCTTTGTTGGCTTATCGGTAAAGATGATGTGCCAATTTCAATGTGCATCACTTGAAACCGCAACACTCAGCATAAGCACAAATAGAAGTAATAAATATAGTGTTTAACGTTGGGAGGAAAAAAAATGGAAAAGGCAACATTGCTATCTGTTTCTGAAATGTTAAGACCTTCACACCACAGACATAATTGTCCCTTTTTTATGGTCACTGATGTGGTTGCGTCATCAGGCGGCTGTGGCTCAGGAAGAGATGGAAGGTTGGCAGTTCGATCCCCGGCCCCTCTCGCTGCATGTCGAAGTGTCCTTGAGCAAGACACTGATCCTGATGATGTGCATCGCTGTATGAGTGTTTATGAATGATTAGTTTCTGTTCTGTTCTCTCTCTCACCCCAACTGGTCGAGACAGACGACCACCCACCTAGAGCCGGAGGATCTGTCCTAGGTTTCTGCCTTTTAACAGGCAGTTTTTCCTTGCCCTTGTCGCCAAGTGCTTGCTCATGGTGGTACTGTTGGGTCTCTGTAAATAATGTTTTAAAGAGTTCGGTCTAGACCTGCTCTATTTGAAAAGTGTCCTGAGATAACTTCTGTTATGAATTGGCGCTATACAAATAAAATTGAATTGAAAATTGAATTGAATTGGTGAGCAGTGGGCACCTTGCATAGCAGCCACTGCTGTCAATGTGTGAATGTGTGTGAATGGGGTGAGTGTGGCATGTAGTGTACAGCGCATTGAGTGGTTGAAAGACTAGAAAGGCGCTATATAAGTACAGTCCATTTACCATTTACCATTTATCTTCGGTTCGTGTACCCTTACACTGGGTGTCACAGCAATAAGCATTTAGCCTACTCAGTGGGATAATTCAAGCGTCATCTTATCGGCCCGTCATATCAGAAGAAATTGCATATGACGATGTTTCATTTCAAAGCCTTTATCGGCTTATCGATACCAATGATGTGCTGATATCATCGTGCATCTCTTGAAACGCCGCACTTGGCATAAGCAAAAATATTAGTAATAAATATAATAAAGGTTGGGAGGAAAAAAGGTTGGCCAACCTCTTTCAGGTAAACTTACTGTGGTTTGGTTTTTCCTTTTTTTTAACCCTTCTTCATACTGTGTTTCTCCACTTACATTCACACTAACCCATACACATACACAGCATCTCATGTAGTGACTTATGTGACATGAGGTCATTGACAATTGCGAGCCACGATATCTCCATATGGTTTGTTATGGGTTTGGTCATTAAAGGACTACAGAGATTGTATGGACAGACAGTAAGTTCTAGATTTATGGTCCAGTACTAGATACAGGCCTATCACAGGCACTGTAGACTGCCGAGTGTAGCCATACTCAGCCCTGGCCTACAATGTATCCACTTTATCTTGCACTCAGTCCCTTTCTTCCCTTTCTTGTTTCTTGCCTTGATCTCCTTTTCTGTTTGTCCATCTTGCAGGTTGTTGAAGCAGCAGGGCTTCAGTGAAGAGGAACTCCATGCCTTCCAGGGCTGATGAACTCTGCCTCAACCCAGCTCCAACGTTGCAAAGATTGTGTGTGCCTGTGAGTGAGTGAGTGTGAGTGAGTGAGTGTGAGTGTGTGTATGTGTGTGTGTGTGTGTGAGAGAGAGAGACAGTCGATTTTTAATTTATGTGATTGTGAGAAATGAAAGGAAAAATTGTATTTCTATGCACCAACGACCTGATGATGCTGACAGCCGACAACACACCCAAGGCTTTGATAGGCTGTGAAGAAAATCACAAAACCACAGTGCAGTAGGATTCTTGTGATTCTGGACAGTTTGGTCAATGTCTGGAACAAAGTTTATAGAGTTCTTGAAACCTATTGTAAAGGTGTGTAAAATAAAAGCAGTAAACTATACTGAGATAAAGAGAAATGAATGAGATGATGTAAACCAATGAGGTATATGCAATATAAGTGTGTAGCACAGGATCTTCTGCAGATACTTAATCTTCCAGTTATATACAAGCAGTTGCAGGAGAGTTAAAGTCACTGCAGAGATACATAGTGTTATGCTGAAAAGGTTGGTTCCCCACTCAGACTGGGATCATTTTCCTCATAACTTCTGATTAGAGTTTACCTTTTATAAAAAAAAATGTTTTACCTTTTTAAAGAGTAACTACACACACGCTAAAAGCTAATGTTGCTGCCTTTATATAAAATGAAACTAGTCACTTTGCTGCAACAGGAAGGAAAGACTATGATGTAACTCTGTCCCTCCAGGATTCTGCAGGCTTTTTATTTGCGATCGTTGTGGTAAAATGCCTGATTTCACAGCAGCTCTTCTACAAACAATTGGTGCATGTTGTTTTTAGGATATTTTTCTTTTTTGTATAATTAATGAAAAATTGAAGGCAGCTTGTTCCAGTGAGAATAAAATCGCACTGTTTGGAGGGTAAATTATGTGCGAGTCGCACACAAAATTGCAGGGTTAAGCAGGATTCACCTGTATTGGTTGAATTTGTGTTAATTGTTGTGATCGCAACTTCCTGGAGAGCCTGAACACTGTACAGTAGTGCAGTGTTACATCATTTTTATGCACAGAAAATATCCCTAATTTAAAAACAAAGGAGCACCTGAGCTCCCCCTGGTCTGTTTCACAAAAGCCCAGCTAAATGTTACAGTGCACTGGGACACATCATCAGTGATGTAACCTGGAATCATTGGGGATTTCACCCTCAACCCAGCCAGGACTGACCAACCCCCAACTTGTGTTCCTGCAGCACTACCCCACAGAGCCCCCCTCCTGATCAGAAGCATCCCTCCTCCTCTTCTGTAATGCCCTACCTACTCTGTGTTGATATAACACAAGCTCTACATCCTGATTATTATTTATCTTGTGCACTTCTGATCTTAACAGGGCACTGTCGTCTCTAAGATGATGTCTGTCTCAAGGCTTCAGATAGTAGGACTGTAATGCCATAGCACCAGTGTAATTGTCTTAGGGAATTTGAATTGCTTACCTAGGTACACTGCTCACCAGCTCTGATGTATAGTGTGTTTGCTTGGTGTGTGGAGGTGCTTGCTGCTGTTGGTGGCTCATGTGAAGACTGATTTATAGTTGTACATAGACTATACACAGAGGCTGTGCTGCAGAGTGTCTGCGTCGCTCTACAATTACACCACCAAAACTGCACTGTGTGAGTTTCTGCACACGACTGAAACTGAACGGATGATGTTGGAGTTAAATAAATATTACATAACAGTTACTTTTACTGAAATTACTGTATTGCAGAAAATAAAGGTTCATGTCAGTCTCTGGCATAGGGTATGAAGCTTCGTCGAACCTTGGCTGTAATTCCGAGGCAGAAGTATAAATTGTCCTTGACACCTGGTCCCTACCCAGCCTGGATCATGAACTTCATGTGCTGGAATCCTGCCGAGCAGCACATCTTGACACCAAGAAAGTTTCCTGCCCAGTCCACCACCTAGTCTACGTTCCTTGCTGCCACATACTTAACCATCCTGGTGGTGTGGGCCTCATCTTCTCATGGATTAGCTGGTGCCTGTCCTTGCCCTGGGCCCTGTCGTAGCAAATGGTAAGAAAGCGACGTATTGATTCGGTCCCCCACCAGAGCCCTATACCTCAGGTGAGAGTGTGTTCCATTGCCTGTTGTGCTTTCCACTTACTCCCAGGTCACCCACTCTTTCTTCTGGTGCCCACACACGATGTTATCAAGAAGAACACTGAAGTGCAGCTGTGGCTCAGAGGCAGAGTGGGTCGTCCCCTAATCAGAAGGTTGATTCGATCCCCGGCTCCTCCCGCCACATGTCGACGTACTCTTGGGCAAGATACTGAACCCCAAACTGCTGTGAATGTGTATGAATGAGTTAGTTTCTGTTTGATGGATGGACTGAGTGACTGTGTGTGAAAGGGTGAATGTAGCATGTAGTGTTTGAGTGGTTGGAAGACTAGAAAGGCGCTATACAAGTACAGGTCCATTTACCATTTACCAAATCTGTGGTGGAAAGAAGCACCGGTTAGTAACCATTGTGTGTCCTTGCTTAATGTAGCCTCTGTGTGAAAACTAGAGCTTGGTATCAGACAGTATCCCCACTGTTGGGTGGCGTCTTAAGTGCTACACTTGATTTGAACCCATAGAAGTGTGTAGTTACTCTTAAATTGGTAATCCTTGAGATCCTTTTGAGCCTCAACTTTGGTACTAAGTGTTCCTAGAAATATATTTCTCGTAGTGTTGTGACATCCTTTTTAAAAATGTCATTATTCTATTGTTAAAAGGCTGAAGACCACGTTCACTAAAAGTTCTCTACATCATCATAATGAGCCAATAAGAAACCCACGGCATTCACAAATTGTGTGAAATGAGTGGGAAAGCTTTCTAACAACACAACATTCATATGAAGGTCAGGCCTTTCAAAGAGATACATCTTTTCAACAGTGTCTCCAAAATGACTAGCAAATACAAGCTCCTCTGAAAGCACAGCGCCTTGTGCAAAGTGTCTGTCCGTTTCCAAATGTCTGTCTGCCAGGTTGACTGACACTGATGTTGCTTGCCTGTTAGCTTCAGGGCTCATTAGTTTAACACCTGTGCTTGCGGTTAATGACAATAGGCCAATCTGCTCTGCCATTACGCTTTTAAAGGGCTTGTTTGTGCCACAGTTTGATTCTCCTGTGCTCCTTCTGCTCCTCTCGAGTAGGGCTGTCACTCTTTATTGGAGTGTTTAGTGTACTGACTAGGGCTGTCCCTGACTAAACATTTTCCTAGTCGACTAATAGTTGTTAGATAAAGCCAATAGCCAACTCATCGTTATATCAATTTAATTATTTAAATCTATATATTTTAACAGCCACCTGTTAAATTAAAACAGAAATAGTGGTAATGATTCTGAATGTGTAGAACAACCACTTCTTTAGTTCATTTATTTCAACACAGTACACAACAAAGCACGGAATTAATAACTAATAACTAATATATTCCAACTTCACTGAAAGGAATACTGGCAGACTCATTGATACGATGGATGATGGTTAACGTTACAGGTTACTTACAAATGAACTCGCTACAAGCTCGCTCCTCTCCCTCTTGCACCTGAAATTGCCGTGTCTAATCCTGGTCAGATCCGCTGTGAACCACCTGGCCTCCGATGGTGTCAGAGCCTGTGTTCGGTCCCGCTGTCGTGGCCACTGGGAGGCTGCTGAGCCCGGCTCCGTTGCCTCTGCCTATGCTGCTTACTCCGTCAACTCAAACCTCCCTATCAGCTGATGGGACTGTTGACTAGCAAGTGGCAGCAGCTCATTAGCAGTGATGTAGCAGTCTTAATAGTGACAAGGCACAGCTGATGAAAAGTTTGTCAACTAAGACAGTTTGCAGTCCTTGGCTAGGGGACAGCTCTAGTACTAATTTCAAAATTAACATTTTAATTAGTTCGCCCTGTGATCCAGCACTATAAACTTGAACTATAGCATTCCATATTGACCTGTCAGTAAATAGAGCTAGTAATGTAATGTTGTTTACTATGAAAATGGAGGGCACTAGCGAGCAAACCCGTCTGGAGGGATTTCTAAGCAAGGATAGTCGGTCCTTTGGTGTGGTAAAAGTAAATGTCTTATTCTTTAGAATAGTTTCTACGTTACGTATTCCCTTGTGGTGTCATACAGTTGTGCAATGTGTTTTAAGATCATTGTTCAAATTAATTCCATGTCATGTTTGGAAAAAGTGACAGCCCTACTAAAGTTTCTGAAGGTGGCACTCTTCTGTTTTCAGCTGTGGCTCAGTTCTTCCTTTTAATCAAAACACATCTATTTTACCTGGTAAAGAACCACCAGATACTGCATACTCCATGAGTCCAGAAAATGTGCCTTCTCAGACACACAGAGTAGCAAAACCTCATATGAAAATGTTACAGAAAGGTTGTTTAACCTTTGGTGGTGCACTGCTCAATCCAGTTCCTGCCAGAGATGCTTAATCACGCACAAAGTAAACCCAACATCAGGTCCAGCCACCAAGAAATAAGTTAAATGAGCTGGTCGACTTGGAGGAGAGCTCTCGTCTCGTCAGTATTAGAAACCACAGGCTTAGAGGAAACTGGATAACTGTTACATACTTGGGAAACTGTGGTTGACGATTTGTTAGAAATAGTGTAATTTATGTATTTCATATTCTACGTGTTGCATCTCCATCATTAACTTTATGGCATTCTTATTTCATGTATAGATTGCAAGTTCACACAGTGCTGTGCTTACAAGGGCTAGACTGATATACAGTGTGCCAGTGTATGGGACAGTTACTGGCCTTTCATTAAACACATCCATTTAGTGTAGAGCCTTTCCAGTGATCCAAAATGTTTGACCTGAAGAATGGAACCCTAATTAGCATATCTGGTAGCACCTGTGTTTACCTATTTTATGTCAAAATGGCTGCTGTGTGGGTGCCCGGTAAGTTCAGTCAGTAGAGCTGGCGACCCATATACAGAGCGGCCCGGGTTCAAATCTGACCTGTGGCCCTTTTGCTGCGTGTCATCCCCTCTCTCTACCCCCCTTTCCTGTCGATCTTCAGCTGTCTCTATCTAATAAAGGCATGAAAAGGCCAAAAAAATAACAATAAAAATGGCTGCTGTGAAAAAAAGGTCTACTTTATATTGAGCAGTAAATTGGAATTTTCACTGATGAGTGTAAGTTTTGCATCTATAACATGCAGCATTGCATTGTGGGATTGTTAGCAGAAAGTATGTGCATGCCACTGACACTTTATCCTATCATACAGTTTTTTATTGTAGGAATTTATGAGCACGCTAAATAAGAGCATACATTTTACAGTCAGAATTCACACTAAAGTAAAATACAGTGCACGTTTTTATTTTCAGAGGGAGTTTAGAAAGTGAACTCGTTTCAGTGCTCT